GTCGCCATCAGAGAGACTGGAGAGAGGGCCTTGCCTTGCCTCAGCCAGCCCTGTGCCTGTCCCTATCCCTATCCCAATCCCATTTGACACCGCGGTGGACAAGCCCAGGTGCCCAGGTTGCACTGGAAGTGGTCAAGCTACGATGGGGACAGACGGCACCCGCAGCGTGGATCAGCCCTCGTGCTTTCATCCTCCCATTCGTCGGAACCGAGCTGCAGCCTTCTCCACAGCTGGGACGTCTTCAGTTGCTGCCGGCTGCAGGAGCCCACTGCTGATCCGTGTCGGAAACAGTGACCTCATACTGTACTTTGCGCTACTTGTCGGAAGTACCTCGGCCACCTTGTCCGCCACTTAGGAACGCCTTCCCGTCCTGTTCCCTTCCTCGCCGCCCGCACCCAGTTGGCCACAGACGTCAGGTAGGGCCGGGGGGCATCTTGCAAAGCTCCTCCAGACTTGCCAGACACCACAGACGCCAGAAACCTTGCTCATGATTGACAATGTCGGCCTGCGACCGACGACTTCTGCCTTCCATTTGCGTTGGCACCTTCGGTACCGACAGCGAGCTGGAGGCAACTTCTGATGTTACCTATCCAGAACCTCAGACAAACCTCAAGGAACCCACATCCATCTCACTTTGGGGTGTTTTCACCGTATCGTGTTGCACTTCTGTCAGGACATCCCCGGTTCGTGGTTCCGACTAGTCTCCGACCTGACTGCACCGCGCTACGTGCATGCTCCGGCATCAGGCCAGACGCGAGTTGAGCAGTGATGAATGAGGCGGTCGCCCGCTTGGCCGAGTTGAGCACACGTTGCCGACCATTAGACGGCGACGGCTTCCCAGCCCGTGTCCGCAGCCCGCAGACCGCAACACGGCTCCGGCTATTGCTTTTCGTCCCATCATGATGTAAGGTACTGCGTTCTATGCGTTCTTGCGTAGAGCAATGCAATTCAAGAGTTTCCCAACGTCGGCCGGTAGCTCAAGGTTTGGCTCAACACCCTGCAAGCCATAGAATAACCTTACTATCAAGCTGACCTGCTCGTCAGGGGAAAACATACTCTCTCTCAACATCATCTATATCCCGGACGGCTCCGTACTGGACCCTGAACTTGGCCATCGCCACAGTAATGACTACAGTACAACGTCTCGTCCACCTCGACCACTACAACCTGAGTCCGGTACTGAATCCACAAGGCGATCCAGATGAGTAGCGCACGCGAGACAACCAGGGAGCCCGAGACATAGGGGACTCGGAGCCAGCGCCGACGGCGGCGCAACCCAGACGACGCCCACGACGCCCCAGAAGAAATTCCAACAGGCAACCTCCCGCATGCCATGCTGCTCAATGGCTGTTTACCCAGTACTGAGTGTCTTGGTCGCGCCGCCATCGAAAAAAAAAAGCAGAACCCCTTACCTCCTAACTTATGAACGCCTCGGTCTGTTGCCCGAGCTCGACGAGCTCAAAAATTGTTTGAACACCGGTTGTTTCCGTCGCCGCATTCCGATATGTTTTCCCTCAGCCCAGCAGGCCTCCTCGAACAAGACAGTCGCAGCTTTGCGCCTCTTGGATCTGATATTGTCGCATCCCCACGTTCCGCAGAGAGCCGTGTATCGGCGGTCAAAGACGAAAATGTCCAGCCGAGAGAGACCCTCGGCCTAGCAAAAAGACATGGACCCTTCGTACTGTGCGGTCAACATGGCCACCGAGTGGACAGCAATGTGGATGGATGTGGATTTGGCAACCTGACGGCGAGTGGCCTACCCTCCGCCCGACCATCCAGGGCCATCAATATGGCAACGATCCGCGATGGCTGCCTCCAGATTGGCCAGCCTTGATTAAATGGATCTTCCAAGACGTCCCAAAATGGTCTCTGAGTGTGCTGTGCGGCCAAAATCTGACGGGCAACACGGGCTGACAGGACAAGCGGTGCCACGCTGCGGCGCTGCCTCCTTCCGGGCTTGGGGGCATCCTTCCACCTGAAGCCGGCGTGCATTCATCGGGACCGATGATAAGGAAGTCGCAAATTATCCGCATCGCCTTTCTACTGCGCTTCCCTCATACCAGGGCTTCCGTCGTAATCTAGTCTTGTTTCTGCGAATGACGACCAGCAGCGGCTGAATCGCAAGACTCAACAGCAGTTACAGTTCGGAGCTTGGGCCTTATGTCCCCTAATCTCGCTGACAATGCGACGCAGTTTGCTCATCTTCGGTCGCAGATTTGCTGATCCCAATCTACCATCCGGGGTAAGCTTTCACGCGTATGTTCGCAGAAGCCATTTAAATTTTGGTGGAGGACCGCCGCGTGTTCGTCAACGCGTGCGACGTAATTCGTTCTCGAGTCCTGACTCGAAACTTGCGGCACAGATGTCATCCAAAACCCAGTTCCTTGGTACATTTGTGTCGGTTTGAACCGAGCACAGAGTCAAGCTTAGCTGCCTCCAATAGTTCAGACGGCTATGGCTACGCTACGCTACACAGCGTTGCGCTGACCCAGTTGGAAGGAAACACGCGATGAATCCCCCTCACTTGGAGCTCGACCAATGCAAGGGATTCAAAGAGGGAAAAATAGCGTCGGCCGGTTGATTTTGAGGGGTTCAGCGGAGGGGACCAGCAGAATAAGGACCCATTCGCGGCACGTCCTGGCACATTCGCCCGCGAGAGCAGTCTTCAGGCGGATTCCGAAACGGACAGCATACCATCCGGCGCCAAGATCGGCAAACCAAGAAGTTGGACGGAGCGACGGTGACGCCAAGGGCTCAACGCTCCTAAACAGACCGCTGGGATGTCGTCAAAGCATGCTGGAGAGTGACGCAGTTGCTGCCAGATTAAGCTGTTGGCCTGCTAGCTTTCTCGCTATTTTTGCCCATGTACAGACCAGACAAGACCAGAGCCTGCCTGCCAGCTGAAGCTTCTTGTTTCCTCCCCGTCTGGGCTTGAAGCCATCATGGATGTCCGAGCGAAACATGGGACACATGCTGATGGAGGCTGAAGTTAGCATCTGAGGAATACAACCCTCCAAGCCGGCCTGTCCCATCAAAGTTGGCTCCAGTATGACGCAATTGAGGGGACGCTGGACAGTTCTGCACGGTCACACCATCCACACCGTGAGCCTTGGCGCCCAGGACCAGGATAGATCTCCCTACCGATGGGAGACGCAGAGAAATGATGAGGCGGGACGGTCAAGATTTTTCGCAGCGTCAGGTGAGTAACTGACGGGGGGTCCCCGTTCCCATCCGTCACAGCTGCCGGGGGGTGATCCCAATTGGCGCGAAACTGAACGGAGCGTTCAGGAGGGTGACGGAGCAATCATGGGCATTTTCATTTGGCCGCTGGACATTGGTTTTCGTCTCTGGAGGACCGCCAGTTCGTGACATCGCGCATTCAGGGACCAGAACCATCAGATCTTGTCCGAGGGATGAGTGCGCACGTTTTCCTCGTCCGCGCGCCATTTCGATGGCGACCGTGTTGAACCGAACCATGTGCAGCGCCGTCGGGTATTTTCCGGCGGCCTCACATGTATCCGTAGCACCTTTTTTTTTTTTTTCTTCCCCTGTGCGCGTGTCCCAATTGTTGGAGACGGAACATGGGAAGGATCCCGTAAAATGAGCAGGGGATCGACATTGGCGTTTCCGAAAACAACCCTCGCCAAAAGTGCCCGCCGGATCCGAACGGGACCCCCGTCCGAGAACGCTGCAGACCGCTGCAGTTCAACCGCGCTTCGCGGCAGCGTCTAGACCGAAGGGTCTCGACCTCGATATCGAACTTCACGACGCCGTTCGGGATGCGGCACCAAACGCTCATTGCTGGCGGGAACGGTCGTCGGACAGATCAGTGCTAGGGAAACCCAATTCAGGTGGGGTCAGATTGAGACCCTTCACATGGCATCAGGTCCGCAGTTCTTCGAGATCCAGTGGGTCTCATCAAGATTGCCTTGCGCTCAATACTCAGACCTCAGCCGCCGGGATTTTCTCATAATGGACGAGAGCGATATCTCGCATGGAATGAGGCCTCACGATTCAAACCAAGAGCAGTATGTCACACAAGACAACAGTCGACAACATGCTCGACGGCACTTGCCGCGCGTGGAGAACGACCTCGTGATATCCTCAAACCAAAGCGACTCAGATATACCTGCCACCCCAATATCCCCCGCCAACCCGAGTCTTTCGCGCATCGCAGGAATCGTCGTGGCTTGCAAAACGTCTCAGTCCAAGGCTGCAACCCAGCCGGGCCCAAGGGCTCGGAACTTGCTCACGGGTCAGGCCACATTGCCGGGCCCTGTTGTATCTATGCTAGGGAGACTGGGGAAAGCGTTGCGCAGTGGGCAGAAGACTCTCCTGCCGCCTTGGTCCAACATTCTGCGCGAGAGGGGGAGCGTTCAGACCCCGAGACATGCTTTTCCGGAATAGTATAATAGGCCTTCTTCACGTTGTCTTGGATAACGAACTCTGTTACTTGGTGTTGTCTTGGACAGAGTGGTCCACCACATATTAGTCGAACGCCCGGCTCCGCGTTGCTTATTGTCTCTCCTCCCTTCCCCTCCTCCTGCCTCGTGTTTTCCGTCTTTCTCAAGTGAGTGGACGAGGGCGTGTATTTTGCGTGTTTCGAACCCCAAGAATCGCTCGAATCTTATCTCCCTTTCGATCAAAAGTCTTGGCCATGGAACGCAGTCTGGGGTTGGATTGCTCTGGTGCTGGTCTTCCTGAACCATGAAATCGGGCTGGAGGGGTTCATGTTTGGTAAAATGTTTGTCCTGATCAGTAATCTTTGGTTCTGTCCGCTTCCGGTGCTATCGATACACTTTATTCAGTTGACTTTTACACATTCCTCGCGTGGGTAGCTGATAGTATAGTCCTTCAGCTTTGCGCAACTCTGCTTACATGTGTGGTAGGGTCGTTTAGAACGTCCTTTCAACGTCGCCCAGTCTGGTTCAGAACCTTTGCTTAGCATTGCATGCTTCCACGTGCACATCTAGAATTTGGCGGCTCCATGCTCCTTGCACTCAGACCTGACCACTTCCTTCCTTGCTGTCATCGTTGTTTTTGCCAACATCCTCAGCTGGGGGCGCGTATCGGCGAAGCGGATTCTCGCTGGGAACCTTGCTGTATTTCTCCACGGTGCGAAGCTCGGCCATGAACTTCGCCACAGACGGGGTTGCGTTGCTGGCGAAGTTGAAGAGCGTGCCGTGCTTGTCAAAAAGGTATCTGGCGTAGTCCATCATGAGCCCGCTCACCTCTCTCGGAGCGTTGAAGGTACAAACTGCGTCGATGTGCCAGACAGCGGGGCAAGTCCGGTTGAACTGCATCTCGCCCTTGCAGTAAACCCTCATTACATGCTCGAAGAGCTCAGGCCAGTCCTTCTTGCTTGCCATGATGGCCAACTTGAGCGTTTTGAGGTGGAAAAACTCAGCCCAGAACGGTTTGTGTTGACTAAAACCCGTCTCGCGAAAATGCTTGTTCCATGACAAGGCATCAGGAACGAATATTTTCGGAGTTTCGAGTTTGTCTCCAACCGTGGTAACGACTACGCTTCCCTTAATGGTCATGGGTCTTCGTGTTGCCTGAGTTGGGATATATTTGTTGGTGGCATCTGCACCTTCCGAAGCAGGTTCCTGTTGTTGGGAGAGCCTGAGAGAAGGCAGTTTTCCTTCATAGCACCAATATATCAGCAAGCTGACGATGTCAGGGTCCTCGTCTGGGAGATCGATCTCCGTGACACCGTTGGCCACCGTGCCCAGCTGTCTGCGGAACTCGCTGCATCCCATGAGCAAGTGTGCATGGACAAAGAAGGTCTCTCTGTCGGGTCCTGCTCGGATAGCGACGATACTCTTGCTCGATCTGTACGTAGAAAATGTAAGGCAGCTCTAAAGACAGGCAGCGAAGTCAAGTCTCACCTGCCGGCACCCACGCAGGGTTCATGCGGTCCTCTGGGCGTCGTGGAAGGAACAGACGGGCTGGCACCAGGACCACGGGAGTCTTCTTGCTTTGTGACGGCCAGCTTGGCTTTCTTGGGAGCGGAGGATTCGGTGACGATGAACGGACCGGCTTTGCCGCAGCTGAAGATGTTGACGTTGGCAATGTTTTTGCCATCACCGGTACTGTCGTCGGCGTCCGGCGCAGGTTGCTTCTCAGGTCTCATCTTGGCGACAGTTTTGGTGATGAGTTGAAGAGAAGGTGAGAAGAGGAGAAGAAGTGGGTTGGGTACGGTAGGGTTTCATGAAAGGTGGTGAGCGTTCATCAGGAAGGAGCATAGGTGGGAAGACAGGAAGGAGCTTCGAAGCAAACGGCCACCTTCCTCGGCAATGGCAAACAGAAGCTGCCTGCCTAAAGCCGCTACATCCACACGGGCTGGAGCCAAATGAGAATTTTCTCCTCCAAACCTCCGCCTGACTCTTCAACCACCCGCAATAATAATGCAGCGCCGCGGCGTACAGAAGGGATCATGGCCTCTCCTGAAGTCTCGCTCAAGCGCGGAGCATCGGATCCTGACTAGTCTGCTGAACAAATCAAGGTAGATTCGTCGTCGAGGACCATAGGTTCTTTTCTCAAAGAAACGCGGTATACACTCTCCCCATCACCTAATCTTTTCTTTCAGCGGAACTGACATGACACCAAGGATGTCTTCCAAAGTTGTGACTATCTACGCCGGCCCCAACGAGACCAAGTTCACTGTCCACAAGCATCTCTTACTCCCTGACACTCTGACCAGATACGAGGAGATCCAGCTACCTAACGATGCCGACGGTTGTACAAGAACGAGTAGCTACCTCTTCGTTGATGGCAAACTCCAAGGGGGAAATAGTCTTGAGTTCGCGCGGCACCTCGAGCTTGGTTGGGAGATGACCCCGCTGTCCTCCTCCTGGGTTTGTAATCGTCATTTATTTAACTGCTCCTCGTCTATTCGTTAATTCCACTTTGATAGTCTATCTGAAAAGCAAAAATGCCTTCATGGAACTACTTGGACGTCTTGTTTGTTATATACTAATTTTGTGGTAATATTCTCAAAGACTCACGAGGCTATTCGACCACATAGCTTGAGCATCAACACCCTGCTAGTCTCGCAATGACTATTTAGACTTTTGATCCCTGGCTCCGCTTCTACGTTTGCCCTTCAAAGTGAAGCGCGTGACGATTCCAAGTCAACTATCAAGGCTTGGTTTCTGGCATCATACTTGTTATCCATGATAGCAGCATTGACAAGGAGCGTCTCGCCCTCGCTGCCTGCAACCAAAGCACCGCTTTCTCCTTTGGTAGCGGCCGAAAGATCAAATGGTGATTTCGCCTCAGTGGCCCAACTCACAGCTTTCTCTTTGCTCCTCCATGTCACAGCCTTCGCTCCGTAACCCTCGTGTACGTGTCCGAAGCAATGAAGACGAGGCCGAGTACGTCGAATGGCAGTCCATAGTGTGGAGCAACCGATGAACTTGCCTTCCTGGATCTGATCGAGAAAATAGTCGTCGTGGGGCACCCGAGGCGGACCATGCGTGACAACGACATCGACGCCCTGTGGGATTGGGTTGACAGCATCGGGGCCGAAGCGATCCTCCTGCGAGCCATACGCGAAGGCCCAGTCGCAGAAATATGGTGTGTAAGGCGACGCGTACAATGTGAAAGATCGTCCATCTCGCAACGTAAAGGTGTAATTTCCTTCGTCGAGCAGCCGAATGCCGGTCGTCTTGAAATCGAACATGGCTCGGGCTTTGTTATGGTCGTCGGGGTCTGCGTCCTCTTCCTGGCAGTGGCGCATCCACCAGTGGTGATCGAGCGTCAAGTCGTGGTTACCGGGGATGACGAGCTTGAGCTCGGCGTTGCATGCTGAAAGTCGCTCGACGGTGGGTTTGTACTCTGAAATTCCGCCTCTCATAGTCAGATCGCCGCAATGGAGAATGACGTCTGCTTTGGGGAGTGTCGCTGGATCTGGGAAGCCTGTATGGTGAGTGTCGGAAAGCACGAGGAAGCGAATGGTGGAGGTAGACATATTGAAAGATTTGTAGATGGAGTCGGATGCTGCTTGTGTGCCACGAATCGAATGCTGAATCATGAGCCTTGAAGATGAGTTACTCGAGTTGCAGATCAAAGAACTTGAAATACAAAAGAAGTTGTGGCTTGCATCGGGATGAGAAGGAAACCACAAGGGTTGGAGGGTCGCCTACCTTGCGTCACCCTTCTTGGGAATTTGGTCCGAACTAAGCTCACTGTAGGTTGAGAGTAATACGGATATATGAGTAAAAATTGAATAAAACCAAATCATTCACCTTGAATCTGGCTTGTCGCAATCGCATTTGTCTGATGAAGTTGCCAGTGACATTTCGGTGAGATACACTGACCGAAGCACACCGAGGGAGGGTTAGCGCACGGCCCACCCCGCATCGGAGCAGTTGACTCACCTTAAATTTCCAACACCCAAGCTGTGGGATTGCTTTGACTCACTCGCGACAGAGCAGATTACCCCCCTCCCTCTCTCCCTGAAAAGCGCCGAACCCCCCGCGATCCACTTCAACAGATCATGTCGCAGCAAAAGGGAAAAGCATCCGGCGCCGGCAAGGGCAAGAAGTCCGGCAAGGCCGCCGAGGGCAAGCGGGAGGACGTCCTGCAGGCCGTGGTAAGTTCGCAGCCCGCAAGCGTCATATGGTGGGGCAGAAGCCCGGGTGAGTCTTCAGGGTCGCTAACCACGCCGTGCGCCATTGCAGGTCATCGCCGACTCGTTCCAGGACCGGTTTGCTCCTTTTTCGGTCGAGAAGCCAAGAGTAAGTCGTCTGTACGATTCTCGAGCACATGCGACGCCGGCTAACCCCTCGCCCGCGGGGTAGTGTCTCCTCCCTCTCGCAAACACGCCCCTCATCGAGTACACCCTGGAGTTCCTCGCCATGAACGGCGTCCAGGAAGTCTACATCTACTGCGGCTCCCATTCTGAGCAGATCGAGAACTACATCAACACCTCCCGCTGGTCGCCGCTGTCGATCCGCACACCTTTCACCAGCCTGCAGTTCATCCGCGTCTCCGATGCCCGATCCGTGGGCGACTTCCTCCGCGACCTCGATGGCCGAGGTATTATGGATGGCGACTTCATCTTGGTACACGGCGATGTCGTCTCGAACATCTCTCTCGACGCTGCCCTCAAGTCACACAAGGCGCGCAAGGAGGTCTCTGCGACGAACATCATGACGGTGGTGCTCAGGTCAGGCGGCGCCGAGGAGCACAGGACAAAGCCGAACGCGGTAAACCCCGTCTTCGTGATGGACTCCAAGACGAAACGATGCCTACACTACGACGAGACGAACCCCCTCCAGAGCGACCACTACATGTCCCTAGACCCCGCAGTCGTCGACGAGCTTTCCACCGATTTCGAGATCCGCGGAGACCTGATCGATGCCGGAATCGACATCTGCACCCCCGAAGTGCTGGCTTTATGGTCTGAGAGTTTTGACTACGAGCTTCCCAGGCGAAACTTCCTGCACGGCGTGCTCAAGGACTGGGAGCTGAACGGAAAGGCCATCTACGCCGAGGTGCTGGAGGACGGATACGCCGCGCGCGCAAACAATCTGCAAATGTACGAGTCGATCAGCAGAGACGTCCTCGGCCGTTGGACGTTTCCCTTTGTTCCCGATTGCAATGTGATCCCCGGACAGACGTATAAGATGACGGCTGGCGCGGTCTCAATCGAGGACGGTACAGTCTTGGCGCCGGACAGCTCACTCGCCAGATCCATCCTTGGCCAGGGCACGAGTGTAGGCGCGGGAAGCAGAGTGACCGACAGCATTATTGGCAGGCGGTGCAGGATCGGAAAGAACGTCCGCATCGAGAACAGCTTTATCTGGGACGACGCCATTATCGAGGATGGTGCGGTAGTGACGAGATCTATTCTCGCCGACTCCAGCATTATAGGCAAGGGTGCTTCAGTCGACGCCGGCTGCCTCATCTCATACGGCGTTACAATCAGTGAAAACACCAAAATCCCCGAGGCCACCGTCCTTGCGGTGACCACATACAACGGCTCTCCGGTCAACCCAGACACATCCCTCGTCGGCGCTTCCGGCAAGGGTGCGCGCTACGTCGACCCCGAAGCCGAAGATGCAGACGACGAGGACCCCTCAATCCTCCAGCGCTCCCTCATCTACAACCTCGCCCACCTCAACCTCTCAACCTCCTCAGTTTCCACCCTGTCCTCCGAAATCGAAGAGTCCGACGATGAGGGCTTCACCCCCTTCGCCGACCGCGCCCGCACAGACTCCTTCGTCTCAGACGACTCCGCAGGCAAGTCCGGCTTCCACCACGACGCAGTCCACGGCCTCCTCGACGCCCTCCGCGCCGACTCGGGCGACTTCGACTCCGCCAAGCTCGAGTTCATGGGTCTCCGCCTCGCCAACGACGCCTCGGACGTCTCCATGCGCAAAGCCGTCGCCGTCGCCTTCGGCCGCCGCGCCGCTGAACTCCTCGAGCCCGAACACGGCGGCCTCGAGCCCGCCAAGGCCGCCGACAAGGCGTTCGCCTCCAAGAGCGGTGCCGCCAAGTTCGTCATGGAGGTCGGCGTCGCCGGCGACGAGGGCGACAACGAGAAGGAGCAGGTCGAGTTCATCCTCGCGCTGCAGCGCGCGCTCCTCGGCGCGCGCAACCTCGAGCAGACGCGCGCGGGCGTCCTGCTCGCCGCCACGCTCCAGAAGCTGTACAGTCTGGACGTGCTCGAAGAGGAGGGCATCATGGCGTGGTGGGAGGACGCGCGGGCGGAGGAGGGCGAGGGCATGGGCACGCTCAAGGAGAAGTGCAAGGCGCTGATTGAGTGGTTCGAAGATGCCGAGGAGGACTCTGACGAGGACGACGAGTAGGTCTTGTGTCCCCCCAAGAGGAAGAGGAGAGGCAGTCGCGCGTCGGCTTCAAGCGTGAATGGGGCCTGAACAGCAGCCGTCATAGCAAACGTCGAGCGTGTTGTCCAGCTGCCGATAGAGCATATCCAAAATAGCAAAATAGAGTAAAAGTTCAAGGTATCGTCGTGAAGTCAAATGTCACGGTGAACAGCACAGGTCGGTTGATGGTCTCAGAATGACTTGCTACATTGCAAGTAAAGGTATCATCTCAAAGCATAGCCGCCAGACGCCAAGCTAGTCCTGCATAAACATGCAAATTCCCACAACAAAGTCCTTT